GGTATTTAAATTTGAAATATAAATAAATAAATAAATAAGTCGAATTTGCTTGAACTTATTACTTGTGGCTTTGACATTTCACAGAAACTGGGTACTGATTTATTCTCTTTCCCAATTATTCTAGGGAATGAATGGTCAAGGGGGATTGCTTAAGCATTTTTTCATATGAGTTCTTTGCACCAGTTCAGAATCTGCTCCAAATGTCAGTGTTATCCTTTTTTTTCTGGTTTTATACCAGCTTATCTGAAACTAAAACAAAGCTGTGTTTTCTTCTAAGAGCTTGTAGGTCTTGACTCATCCTGGCTCTGATCTTCAGCATTCTGCTCCTCATGTCTGTCTATGTAGGCACTGTAGCAGCATCCAACCATGATTAAAAGTATTGGGAAAAGGACTTCATTGCAAAAAATTATGGGCGTTTCTTCCAAACCTATCTTTTCATCTTCATAGATTGCAAGATTTTTTTTTAAATACAAAAAGAAAGCCAGCTTTGCAGCTGGAAAGCTTTTCCCTATAGCTTTAGATTTATTATCACTATAACTTTAATTACCTTCATCATAATATCCATTAATTTTTTTAAGAGGTGTACCTCAACAAAATGCCTACAATTATTTTTAGTTTTCGGTATTTCTACAATCAGAGAACAAGCTGTCTTACATGATTGCTGTTTAGAAGGCTGGTCTAAGGTCTTCTTTGAACAAAAGGAAAATGGTATAACATGAACTTGAATTTTTTTATGGCCAAAGACCAGCATAGAACAATAGAGTATATAAAAAAGGAAATAATATAATGAGAAGGGGCAGACATCTGGATATGGGATGATTTTTATATGTCTCCGCTTGCACCACCAAGGGAAGAGTACCACACCTTACCAGAGTGAAAGCTTTCAATGCCCTGAATAGACCAATGGTGCAGTGTTGGAGGAGGCACTTTATGTGTTGGTCCACAGGCAATTTTGCAGCTCTGCCTAAATCATTTTGGAACTCCACATCCATGCTATACAGTCTAATGAGTGATGTTGCCTGATCACTGCCCCAGCTTGTCATGAAGCTTCCATTGTGCAGTGCCTGGCAAGCATTTCCCCCACTTTCAGTTGGGCAATCAAATCCCCAACTTCAGCAAAATCAACCAGCGGCCATGTCTTTCCCATGTTTCTGGAAGAATAATCTAACAGGGACAAGCCCTCAGTTGAACAATCAGATATTAAGTGCCAAAAAAGGCAGAGTTCTAACAGCCTGGAAAAGTAGAGCTGTCCTGTTTTCCTGTCCTCACTCTTCTTTCATCACAGGAGTTGTTTATACTGAGCTTTTTGTCTTAAGAGCTCCTGGGCATAAAAGATTCTGGATTGGATCACTAAATCTTACAGTTAGCAGTAACATTACACACTAGTTCTGCCAGTGATTTGCTCAAAGATACTTGGAAAAATTCATGATCAGGTGGGGTTTGAACCTTGGTCACTTCAGTCTCCTTTGTTTTTTAAATGAACAGGTTTTAGGATTTTAATCATAATTTGAGTAATGATGATAAAACTTTAAGAGTACCTGGAGTATTTGATTGATTAATTATCTGCCATCAAGTTGGTATCGACTCTTAGCAACCACATAGATAGATTTGCTCCATGATGGTCTGTCTCTAACCTGGTGTACTCATTGCTACCATAACTGAGTCCATCCATCTTGGTGCTGGTTATCCTCTTCTTTCTGTGAGAAATGACAAAATGTTGTTTTTGAAGACAAACTAATTTGACAGTATATGCTTTAAAATAAACCATAAGGAGCAACTAGTAGTGAAAGGGGACCTTCCAGACCCCCTGCTTTCCTAAGCAGAACATATGTAGTGATACAGTCAAGTTACTAGTCCTCAATTGATTAGGATGGCTCTTAGCATAAAGTAGTATGGCTTTCTACTAGCCTGCTTAAAATAAGTAAACAAGCTAACATATACAGGGTGTGGCAATGTGGTAGGAAACTGGTGCAGGTGGTTAAAGGAGTCTCTGAATAGGGAGCTGAAGAACCATCCTGAGCTGGTTTTGTGGTATGTGAAACCACATCACTGGGCACACTCACTGCTAATGCCAAAAACTGCTATAAAAGGAAATAAATAAATAAATAAATAAATAAGGGCTGGGAGAGGCTTAAAATTTGAGTAGTGGGAGATATAAACTAAGGCGGGATTTCCAGGAGTTGTATTAGGCATATCGGATAGGTTGTAAACTCCTGAGTACCCAACCAATGGGGAAATGGAGGAGGGTCTTTCTGCTTGGGCTTAGGGTATAAAAAATGCATATATCTTATCATGGGGTGTGCCTGCTTTACTGGACACCTGCCTTTGCAAATGTGTTAATAAATATACTTTGCTGCTTCAACCAATGACTCATTGTTATTTCTTCTGGGGCTTTGAGCCAATCGACTATTCCCCACATTTCCTTCCACCTTTCCAGCATTAGAGGCTTCTCTAGAGAGCTAGATCTTTGCATAATGTGTCCGAAGGAGGATAATTTTAGCCTGGTCATTGTGTCTCAAGTGAGAATTCTGGGTTGATTTGTTCAATGAACCATTTGTTTGTTTTCTTGGCTGTCCATGATATTCTCAGGAGTCTTCTCCAACACCGGAGTTTGAAAGTGTCAATACACTTCCTATCCTGGTTCATCAAAGTCTAATCTGGTGCATTATTTACTATATACCACATAAATTGAAGGTAATTCATTAACAGGACTATTTCATGTGCCTGTGCAGTTAGCTGGGTTTGAAATGTGATTTGGAGCACATACGGATGTGCATGTAGCTCCTTTCAGGAATATCTTAAAGAGATCTTTCCCAGCATCATGCACCAGGTGCAGAAGGCAGCCATGTAAGCCAAGGAAACATGCAGCTGCTTTAGCATATTCCTGGTAGGTGCTGTATGTACACCTATGCAAAATCGAAATCACACTTTGCTCTTCTAATCAAGATATCTGCACAGCGTTCAATTTTATAGTTGAATGCAATTCTTGGAATTTATCAGTTGGCTTACTTCCTAGATAGCTGAGAATAAGAATGGCAAACCACGTCCAACATCTTGCCAAGAAAACTGCGGGGACTAGTCCAGGCAGTTGCCAGGAGTCAACAATGACTCGAAGGCACCCAAAAAAAAATAAAAATGGTAATGTTAGTTGGCACATCTGTCATCTTTTAAGGTATTAGTTTAGCCCAGTACTTTTTCATTTATTGCAGCTTTCTGCAACTTGGTACCTTTTAGATTTTGTGAGGCTGAACATCTAAGAATTCTCACTCGTGCCAGAGATACAGTATATTTACTTTAATAACAAATAGTGTGTGAATTTGTGCTAGGCAGTGTAGCTTTTCCCCTTGAAATATGATATCCTGGAATAAAGTAGTATGTAAAGTTATACTGTAGAATTCCTTCCTTGCATTATTTTAAGATACAATGGGTGGAATCCTATACAAAAGTTAGCCCCACCTGATTTAGTCCCAGATCAGTGTCTGTGTGACTGCAGTCTAACCTTTGCCTTTGAAAGACTTTTGAATACTGAATTTGAAAGTATGAGAAATTGTCTCAAAATCTTTATTATGGTGATTGATCACCATTCATTCAAGTTTTTATTAAAAAGTTACAAGATCCAATTTAAAATATGCAGATATCATCTGAAAGATTAATAAAAGTAAACAAAATGGTTCAGATTACTCTAAATGATGAAAGCAAAATACTAAAAGATTTTAAATACTTAAATCTGACTAAATCATATAACTACTTTGGGAGTAAAATACTAATTTTAGTACTAATATACTGAGTTACTAAAATACTGAGTATATATAAGTTGGTGTTTATGTATATATATGTTATGATCAGTGACAAGAAACTTAACAGGAAATTTGAAGAAGTAACTGAAATAACTTTGAGCGTTTCTGGAAATCACAGTAGTAATAGCTATCATTCACTTAACTGTTTTGAAAGTCATTTGTGGTCTAAGTCTGGTTATTAAATGTCAGGACTTAACATGAAACTTAAAACAGTGTAGAAAGTGTAGAAGGTTTTGTATATTTGTGCAGGGCAGTTAAATTAGAGTGTTTTCCTGCATAGAATAATAGCTGCTAGGGAAAAAAAACCTTGCAACTTTCCTGGAAATTTTAGAGTCCCCATCTGATAATAAAAAAGCAAATGAGATTGTCCTCAGAATAGGTGGAACTTCTATTAGCAAGTAGAGTTATGAGAGTAGGGTGCAAGATACTGTATAAAGGACATTGAAGAAACTTAGGGGTTAGAGTCTCAGATTCCTCCAGGTCGCAGGGGCACATTCACTACGCAAAAAGGATGTTGTTATACCCTCCTTCCAATTTCATAGAGGGCAAGACATTAAAGCTAGCTAAGGAAAAATCCATAAAGTGCATTGGGCAGGTAATACTGAATTTGCTTTTTTGAATTTGCTGGTGTAAAGAGTTTCTTGTTCATGTCTTGCCAGTACTGTTTACCCAATTCTCCCTGCTGTACCTTGAGGGTAAACTGATATAAATATACTTGTTTATATCCAAATTAGAA